ATCAATATCAACAATCATAACAACATCAACAATCATAACAACAATAGCAAGATTCAAAACAACGTAGATTACAACAATGACAACAGTAACAACGACTGTCATAACAACAATCATGACAACATTAACCACATCAACAACAGCAACAACAATAACAACAATCTTATCAACACTAACAACATCAACGATCGCAACACCAACAACAACATTAACAATAACAACAATCATAACAACAACAATAATCACAACAACAACAACAATTGTAACATTAACAACAACAATCATAACAATAATAACAATCTTAACAACGACAGTAACAACAATTCAAATATTAACAACAACAATAATAATAATAATAATAATAATAATAATAATAATATAGGTAATCGCAATAATGGTGATGGTGACATTTACAATAATAACATTAATAACAATAAACACAAACACAACAGCAATACAAATAATAAAAACAACAACAACGACAATAATAATAGTAATAATAATGATAATAATAATAATAATAATGATAATGATAATGACGATAGAAACATAAACAAAAACAACGATGAAAAAATAACAACACCAGCAACAACACCAACAACAACATTTAAAAAAACATTAACTACACCAACAGCACCACCAACAACACCAACAACAACAACAAAACATTCACAAACAAAATCATCATCAACACCGACATCAGTAGCACCATCAGCATCAGCCCGGAATACAACACCGAGCAAAACAAACCAACCAAATACTAAACCATCATCGTCATCATCGGCAGCAGCGACAACTACCACTATTACAACTGCTGCCACTACAACTGCTGCCACTACAACTGCTGCCACTACTACTGATGCCACTACTGCTGCTACTACTACTACTACTGATACACCATCAACGCAACAACAACGACCAACAACAGCAGCGGCAAAAATCCAACAACGACAAACAGCAGCAACGGCAGCTACTTCAGCAGCTGCAACTAGGTCGTCAGAAATTTCCGCGCGGTCAGATGAGGAAAGCTTCGGTCGGCGAATTGTCTCGTCTACTTATTTGGTACGATCATTATCATTACTTTCGTTGTCGTCATCATCATCATCATCATCTTCGTCATCCATTGCCACTACTGCCACTGCTACTACCACAACTCCTACTACTACTACCACTACTACTATTACTACCACTATACCACTACTACTACTACCACCACTACTACTACTACTACTACTACTACTACTACTACCACTACTTCTACTACTACTACTTCTCCTGCTATTACCATTACCACTACTACTACTACCACTACTACTCCTACTATTACTACCACTATACCACTACTACTACTACCACTACTACTACTACTACTATTACTACTACCACTACTTCTACTACTACTACTTCTTCTGCTATTACCACTACCACTACTACCACTACTACTACTACTCCTACTACTACTACTACCCCTACGACCACTACTCCTACTACTACTACCACTACTACCACTGCTACTACTACTACTACTACTACGAGTACTAGTACTACTACTACTAGTACTACTACTACTACTACTACTACTAATACTACTACTACAGAGAAAGATCACATCGCTACCTCGTCTATCAGTTTCGAGAGAAAGAGGCTTGAGGATACCAGAGATATCCGTCAGCTACCACACACTGCCGCTCTGTGTGAGGATCGCTGAGATACTGAGGGAGGTGAGAGGAAGGAAAGATGATGATGATGATTGCGAGGTGGTGGTGATGATGATTGTGAGATAGTGGTGGTGATGATGATTGTGAGATAGTGGTGATGATGGTGATGATTGCGAGGTGGTGGTGATGATGATTGTGAGATAGTGGTGGTGGTGGTAGTGATGATGATTGCGAGGTGATGATTGCTATGTGGTGATGATGGTGATGATTGCGAGGTGGTGGTGATGATGATGATGGCGAGATGCTGGTGGTGGTGATGATTGCGAGATGGTGATGGTTTTGTTTTCATAATGATAAAAACTATGAATGATGATAAAACGTTATTAATGCGATACGTAGTAGTAGTAGTAGCAGCAGCAGCAGCAGCAGCAGTAGTAGTAGTAGTAGTAGTAGAAGTAGTAGTAGAAGTAGTGTTTGAGTAGTAGTATATTGGTCTTTGGTGTAATTATTTATAAATCTAACTATATGGAGTAGCCTAATTGTAATAATTTATGCTGCTAATTAGTATTCATGAATTCTATTTTTAGACTGGGGCCTACGTCATATGCATATGCATCACGTTCATTATAACGTTATCCGTCTTTCCCGCCATTATTTCATCCATTCAGTCCACTACAGATGGCTCAAAATGGTCGAGTTAGTAATGATGATGAGGATGATGATGATGATGATGATGTTGGTATTGGTGTGATGATGATGATGATGTTGGTATTGGTGTGATGATGATGATGATGTTGGTATTGGTGTGATGATGATGATGATGTTGTGATGTTGATGATAATGATCTGAT